GTCCAGAAAAGAAAGAGGAGACTAAATTGAAACATGAAAGATATTGAGCGGAGCCGACCACGTGGATATTGAAAACATGGTCCCTCTGGTGGGAGAATCTAGAACTGATGGTCATTGTTTAAAGGTAAGGGTGAATCCATTTGAAGTGGTGAGGAACATTTCCTTTCTCTAAGAGGGTTGTGAATCTTTGTAACTCACTTTGTCAAAAGGCAGTGGTTGAAGAATCGTTAAACTTTTTTTTTAAGGCAGAAGCAGACAGATTCTTGATGACCAAGATGATGAAAGATATTCAGGGATGTGCAGACACAGAGTTGAGGTTGAAATCAGATCAGCCGTGATCTTACTGAATCTCAGAGCAGGCTCAAAGGGCCGAGTGGCCTACACTTGTTCCTCATTCATATGCTCGAACGAATCGGAGAACAAAGAAACACAAATCTTGTCTGATTACTGGGGGTCAGGAGGGTGTTTGAGCTCAACTTCACCTACTCAGTATATTAGTTCCATTCTATCCCCCCACCCAGCTTCAATTAACATCCTTTTAATTTCCAGGGAATACACAATTTTTGGTGAGATGAGGCATTTTGATAGAAGGAGAAAAGAACATATGAAATAGAGTTGTCCATTATGCCCCTCGAGCCTCAAAAAGGTCAAAGCTCATCTATTTAGGCTTCAATTCCACATTCCCAATTGGCCTTGATAATTTTGTTTCCTTTATTCCTGTGGGCATTGCTGGCTAATCCATCTAGTTGTCATTGAGAGGGTGGTAGTGATCTGCTTTCGTGAACCACTGTACTCCATGAGCTGCAAATGGACCCACAATGCTGTTAGGGAGGGAATTCAGGATTTCGACCCAGCAACACTGAAGGAATAGTGATATATTTCCAAGTAAGGATGGGGAGTGGCTGGGAGGGAATTCATGCCCAACATCCAGTCTCAGAGACCTACAGCACAGAAAAAGCCTCGGCTGACTCTGTCGAATTTTGTCACTGTCATCTAAGTAGTCTGTTATCCCACCTTTTATAGCGGACTCGAACATTTTTTTCCCACCAACAATGTTATGCAAATTCCGTGTTTTCTCTCCGACTCCCTTCTTAAATACTGGGGTTATGTTAGCTACCCTCCAAACCATCGGAACTCTTTGCGACTGTATAGTATTTTGGAGTATAACCACTAGTGCAGCTGCTATTTCTAAGGCCACTTCCTAAGGTACTCGGAGATGAAAGTTATCAATCTCTGGGGATTTATCTGCCTGTTATCTCATTAGTTTTCCCAATTTCTTACAATTACACCTTCCGATTAGACCCTGTGATCCCCTTAATTTTGGGATATTATTTGTGTGCCCCTTTTTGAAAATCTGAGATATATTTAATTGGTCTGTCATCACTTTGCACTCCATTATAAATTCCCTGCTTGATTGTAAGGAGACCCGACATTCTTCTTGACTCATCTTGGATTATCAATCTTCAATTAAGAGTTTAATAACGATCATGAAACCGTTGTTGATTGTCAGGAAAAACCCAACTGGCTCACTATTATCCTTTAGGGAAAGAAACTGTCATCCTTACCCGGTCTGGCCTATACGTGACTCCACCCACACTGCAATGCAGTTAACTCTGGGCAATCAGGGATGTGCAATAAATTCTGACCTAGTTAGCAATGTCCACATCTTGTGAATGTCTATTTAAAACAATGCCGTTGGTTTTATGGTCCATGAAAGAGTACTCTCAGATTCTATTTTCTCCCTCTAATTAAATCCCTTTGTCTCCCTTTGCTGAAATCTAAACTGTTCCCAATCCCTGGGTCTGTTGTTTTATTTATCCAATTTGTATGCTGCTTCCTTAAATTTAATACCCGTTCATTTCTCTTTCTCTGCCATGGTTTGACCATGTTTCGATTTTATTTTTATGCCACAGCTTGTCCACGTCCTCTTTCAATGTTTGCCATTACCCATCTCCCATCATCCATTTAAATTGTGATCCACAATTTATCACAACTGGCTCACGCCTCATACCATTCCAACTTCTTTTATTTAATTACAGGACTCTAGTCTCAAAAACAACGACATCACACTCCATCTTAATGATGAATTCTAGCCTGTTGTGGTCACTCTTCCTTAAGAACACATGTTCAACTCGATTGTCAATTATTCCTTTCTCACTACCCAATACTCATCTGCTTTTTCAACGTATAATTGTACCATATACACGCTAAGAATTCCTCCTCTATCTTATTGCTACTGATGCTATCTGCTCAATTTATATGTCGGTTGAAGTCACCCATAATTACAGCCATAACTTTATGCCTTGTATCTCTAAATTCCATTCGAATGCCTTCCCAATATTATTGTAGCTTGGGTTCTATATACAATACTAATATCATTTTCTGTCCATTGGCGTTTCTGAGATCAACCCATAGAGATTCTACTTCACCACACCCTATATCCTGGCTCACATCATATTACTTTACTGTTTTAGTCAGCAGTTCTAGCCTAATCCTATTCCATTTCACCTGCCCAACCTATCCTCCTTGGACAACCCACTTATTCCAGGTTTCAATCTAGTGAACCTTTTCTGAACCACTTCGATTAAGCGTCCAGACGACCAAAACCTGCACGTGGTATTTGAGATTTGGTCTCTTCCCTTCCCTGTACAAATGAAGCAGAACATCCTCACATTGATGTTTAATTCCTGTGATAATAAAGCATACAGCCTATTGGCTTTCTGGATTAGACCGAGACCTTGCTCAATTGGATCAATGGGCTAAAAAGAGTGGCAGATTGAACTTTATTTGAGTAAATGTTTGTTTTATCCAAAATGGAATACTTCACATGGGCAGGACTTATATAATTAATAGTAGGGCCCTGGGTACTATTACAGAACAGAGAACCTAGGCTTTCAGGTACATTTGTCTTTGAAATTTGTTTCACAGGTGGACAGGGTGGTTAAGAAGGCATTCAGCACACTTGTCTTCATTGCTCAGGTCTTTGAGTACAGGAGTTAGGACGTCACGTTGGAGGTTGTAAAGAATGTTGGTGAGGACTCTCCTGGAATACTGTGTGCCATTCTGGTAGTCCCGTCATTGGAAGGATATTATTAAACTGGAGTGGGTTCAGAAAAAAAAAGGATGTTACTGGGAAAGAAGGGTTTGAGTTGTAAAAATAGGCTGGATAGGCTGGGACTTCATTCACCGGAAGGTAGGAGGTTGAGGCGTAACCTGAAAGAGGTTTATAAAAGCATGAGAGGCTTAGATAAGGTAAATAGCAAAGGTCTTATCCCTCAGATGGATGAGTTCAAAACTAGGAGGCATATTTTTTACGGTGAGAGAAGAAAGATTTAAAAAATGACATGAGGGGTAACTTTTCTTTTCTTTTTACATAGAGTGTGCTCAGTGTGTGGAATGAACTGCCAGATGAAATGGTAGGTGCAGGTACAGTTATAGTTACAATGTTTAAAAGAGATTTAGATAAGTACACAAATTCGAAAGGTTTGGAGTGATGTGGGCCAAATGCAGGAAGATGGGACTAGTTTAGTTTGGGATTGTGGTCAGAATGGAATAGTTGGACCATTGGGTCCGTTTCCATGCTGTATGACACCATGGTTACATGCTATATCTGCATACTAACTTTGTAACTCATACTTTATCCTCCACATCTCAGAATTCAGCAGTCATTCACCATTTAAGGAATATTCTGCTCTTGTTTCTGCTTCCTGCTAAAGTGAATGATTTCACATTTTCCTACATTATATGCCAATAAAAATATTTTGCCCGTACTAATGTTTCAGGTTTCATAAGCCGTAGGAAGGATAGAAAGGGGGGCAAAAGAACTGAGGGAGTGGCTTTTTTTTTATTGGGGAAAATATGCAGCAACTAGAAAAGATATTTCTGAAAAAAAAAATGTCCAGTGAAAATGTATGGGTTGAAATCAGAAATAAGAAAGGAATGATCATGTGGTGGGATTGTACTATGGGTCCCTCATTAGTCGGCGGAAATTGAGGAACAAATACGTAGAGAGATCTCAGATATATGAAAGAATGAAAAGGTTGTAGGAATCGGTGTTTTAATTTTCTAAACATTGACTGGAACTGCTACAGTGTTAAAGGTTTGGATGGTGAATAATTTGTTAACTGTGTTCAAGAATATTTTCTTTATTAATAAGTCAATGTTCCTACTAAAGAGAAAGAGAAAACTTGAGCTTCTCTTTGGTAATAAGGCACAGTAAGTGACAGAAGTGACTGTACAGGAGTACTTTGGGTCTGGTGATAATAACTCTGTCAGTCTTAAAACAGTTATGGAAAAGAATAAGCATTCCAGAAAAGGTGAAAGTATTTAATTGGAATAAGGCCAATTTTAATAGTATGCGACAAGAACTTTCAAAAGTTGAATGGAGTAGACTGCAGGTAAAGGGTCATCTGATAAGTGGGAGGTTTTCAGAAGCATGGTAACGAGAGTTCAGAATCATTATGTTCTTGTTAGAGTGAAAGGTAAGGCTGGTAGAATTAGACAACAATGGATGAAAAGGATATTCAGCTTTTAGTCAAGAATAAAAAACTAATCATCAATTAGATACAAACAACTGGGTTTAAATGAATCTTTTGAACAGTATAAACATTGTATAGGCATTCTTAAGTGGGAGATCAGGAAGGCAGGAGGGGGATATGAAATTGCCTTGATAGATAAGGTGACGGATAATGCAAAGATATACTACAAGTGCTTTAAGAGCAAGAAAGCAACGAGAGAGCGAGCATGGCTCTTTAAAGATTGAAGAGGTCATCTTGGCGTTGAACCTCAGGAGATGACAGGAATATTAAAGAGATATTAATATTTTGCATCAGTTTTTATGGTGGAGAAAGAAGTGGATGTTGGAGAATTCAGGGAAAGAAATGGTGTGTTTTGAAAACAGTTCACATGGACGTCTTCTAAAATATAAAGATGGATATCCTGTGGCACAGAAGATGGGGGAGGATTGTTAAATAAATATTTCTCCTCAGTGTTTAGTGACGAGAGAATCATGGATGCTACGGAAATACGGGCAACATGCGGGGATGTTTTGGACCACATACTTATTCTCAGAGAGGTGGTGTTTGCAGCCTTAAAGCGCATTAAGGTGGATAAGTTCCCTGGGCCTGATCAAATCCATCCTCGGACATTGTGGGAGGCGAGGGAAGAAATTGCAGAGGCCTTTGTAGAGATTTTTGCTTCAGCTTTAGCCACTGGTGAAGTTCCAGGAGACTGGAACAACATTAGCCATCATCCATTGTTTAAAGAAAGGTAGCAAAGATATGCCAGGGAACTGCAGGCCAGTGAGCCTGACAGCAGTGGTAGGCAAGTTATTGGAGAGGACAGTGAGGGACAGGATCAACCAACATTTGGATAGTCAAGGTCCGATTAAGGATTGTCAGGATGGGTTTGTGCGTGGGAAGTCACGTCTGACAAATCTTTCAGACTTTTTCTGAGAGGAAACCAAGAGCACAGGTGAAGGTACGGCAGTGATCTCATCTATGTGGACTTTAATAAGGCTTTTAACAAGGTCCTGCACGCAGTCTAGTCATGCAATTTAGGTCGCATGGGATCCAGGGAGAGCTAATGAATTGATTCGAAACTGACTCAATGGTAGGAAGCAGAGGGTGATGGTTGAAGGTTACTTCTCAGACTGGAAGCCTGTGGTGTGCCACAGGGGTCAGTGCTGGGACCTTTGTTATTTGTTATTTACATAAATCATCTGGATGCGAATATACAGGAATGATTATTAAGTTTGTGGATGATACAAAATTAGTAGGTATTGAGAGGGGAAGATTATCAGAAAATTGATCTCGATCAGTTGGGGAAGTAGGCTGAGGGTTGGCAAATGCAATTCAATACAGATAAGTGTGAGGTGTTGCACTTTGGAAAGTCAAACCAATGTAGGACTTATACAGTAAATGGTAAGGTCCTGAGGATTGTTGTGGAACAGAGGGACCCAGGAGAACAAGTACATGGTTCATTGAAAGTGGTGTCACAGGTGACAAGGGTGGAGGAGAAGGCATTTAGCATGCTGGCCTTCATCGGTTGAGGCATTGAGTGTAGTTGTTGGGACATTACGTTACACGTGTATAAGTCATTGGTGAGGCTGCACTGGAATACTGTGTACGGTTTTGGTCACCCTGTCACAGGAAAGACATAGTTAAACTGGGAAGTGTCAAAGAAGATTTACTAGGATGTTACCAGGACTAGTAGGTCCGAATTGTAGGGACAGGTTGGTCAGGGTAGGACTTTATTCCTTGGAACGTAGGAGAATGACGGAGTGACTTTATTGAAAAAAAAAACAAAAGAACTGCGGATGCTGTAAATCAGGAACAAAAATAAAGTTGCTGGAAAAGCTCAGCAAGTCTGGCAGCATCTGTGAAGGAGAAAACAGAGGTAACGTTTAGGTCCAGTGAACCTTCCTCAGTGACTTTATTGAGGTGTCTAAAATCATGAGGGGCAAAGATAGGATGAATGCATATCGGCTTTATCTCAGGGATGGGGAATTGAAAACGCGAGGTCATAGGTTTAAGGTGAAAGGGGAAAGATTTAAGAAGGACCTGAGGGGTAACTTCTTCATGCACAGAGTGGTGCATGTATGGAATGGGCTGCGAGAGAAAGTGGTTGAGGCTGGTACAATAGCAGCATTTAAAAGACATTTGGACAGGTACATGGATGGGAAGGATTGACAGGGAAGTGGACCAAATTCAGCAGTTGGTACTAGCTTAATGGATACCATAGCCAGCATGGACCAGTTTGGGAAAAAGGCTTTTTTGCATGCTGTATTACTCTATGACTCTAAATCTTACGACCTGTCTAGTGCATCCCAACGTGTTGTGGAAAGTTAAAGAGAAAACGTGGGGATGCTTGCACAAATATTTACGGGTGAGGTGCCAGATGACTGAAGAGTGGCTAATGTTGTGCCTTCATTTAAGGGACGTAAGGAGAAGCCTGTGAACTATAGGCATGTGAGTCTGACTTTGGTGGTGGATAAGTTGTTGGAGGCGATTGTGGAAGATAGCATTTGGCGAGGCAAGGAATGATTATGGATTTTCAGCATGGTTTTATGCAAGGGAAATCGTGGAAATAGTGTCTCACACATTTGATTGAGATTTTGATGAAGTAACCAAGATGATCGATGAGGGCAGAGCAGTAAGTATTGTTTTCCTGGACTTTCGTAAAGCTCTTGACAAGGTTCCACAAGGGGTAGACTAATCAGTGAAGTTAGCTTACATGGGATCTCGGGTGAGCTTGCCAGTTGGATAAAAAATTTGCTTGATGTCACAAGACAGGCGCCTAGTGTTCAGCAACGACCAGTGGCGTCCTGCAGGGATTGGTATTAAGTCTACTTTTGTTTGACATTTATATAAATGATTTTGATGAGAATACACAAGGTATGGTTAATACCTTTGCGGATGACACCAAAATGGGTGGCCTTGTGGACAGTGAAGAAGGTTACCTAAGATTTCAAAGAGATCTTAATCAATTGGGTCTATGGGTTATGTGGCAGATGGAGTTTAACTTGAATAAATGTGAGGTACTGTACTGTACTAAAACAAACAAGGATGCAGGACTTATACAATTAAAAGTAGACCCTTGCGTATTGTAGACCATAGAGACTTTAGGCTTTCGTTACCGAATTCTTTGAAATTTGCGTGTTTAGTATGCTTACCTTCATTGCTCAGACCATTGTGCAGAGAAGTTGGGATGTCATGTTGAGGTCGTACAGTCCGTTGGTAAGGCCTCTTCTGCAGGACTGTGTCCAATTCTGGTTGTCCTGTTGTCGCAATGATATTATTAAGCTGGAGAGAGTTCAAAGGTGGTTTACAGGGATGTTGCTGAGAATGGAGGGATTGAGTCATAAGGAGAGGCTTGGACTCCTTTCACAGGAATGTAGCATGTTGAGGTTGACCTTATAGAGGTTTGTGAAATTCAGGTGTCCTTTCTCTGGTGTGGGGATTTCAAGACCGGGAAGCATATTTTTAAATCGAATGGAATAACATTTATTGTCAAACGTACTCACATAAGTACAGAGAAAAGTTTACAAGTTGCCACTTGTGGCACCATCTCAGGTACAAAGGTACCTAGGTACAACACTACCCAGGGCCCTACCATTAATTGTTTAAGTCCTGCCCTTGAGGAGTATAGAGAAGGTGAATAGCAGATGTCTTTTCCCTCGGGTGGGGGATTTCGAGACTAGGGGCATATTTTTAAGGTGACAGATGAAAGATTGAGAAAAGGCACGAGGGACAACCTTTTTTTTTTGCAGAATGCGGTTCTTGCGTGGAATGAACTTCCAGAGGAAGTGGTGGGTACAGGTAAAGTTTACAACATTTAAAAGACGTTTGGATAATATGTAAATAAGAAATGTTCAGAGAGATATAGACAATGTGCAGGCAGATGGGACTACATTAGTTTTCGAAAATGGTCAGCATGGACTGGTTGGACCAATGGGTCTGCTTCCATGCTGTCAGACTCTATGACTCTGTGATTGAAACGACCAGAATACTGAGAGGACTGGATAGATGCACATGGAGATGTTTCGAAGAGCAGGAGAGACTCGAACCTGAGGGCACCGCTCTCAGCAAAGGGATGACCCTTCAGAACGGAGAAGAAGAAGAATTTCTTCAGCCAGACAGTGGTGATTCTGTGGAACTCAGTGTCACAGAAGGTTGTGGGGGCCAAGTAATTGAGTGTACTTGTGACTGGGATAAATACGTTCTTGATTGGTAAGAGGATCAACAGGACAAGGTAGGAGAATGGGTGTGAGAAACATATCAGTCACAATCAAATTGTGGAGCAGTCTTAGTGGGCCGAAATGCCTAATTCTGCTCCTCTGTCTTGTGCTCTTATAGTTATTATGGGTGACTTCAATCTGCATATAGGTTGAACAAATTGAATCAGCAACAATACCATACAGGAGAAATTCCTGGGCTGTGAAAGAGATGGTTTTCTAGATCAACATATTGAGTACCCAAAGAGAGGACAGACCATCCTCAATGGTGTATTGTGGAATAATCAGGGCTGGGTAAGCTCAGTTGGCTGGACAGCTGGTTTGTAATACAGAGTGACACCAGCAGCACCTGCTCACTTCCTGTACGAGCTGAGGTCACCATAAAGGTTCCACCATCTTAACCTTGCCCATTGACTGAGGCACGGTAACCCTGAGGTTAAAGCACCATTAGTCGTCTCTCTCTCTAGAAACAGAACAGTCTGACGATCTTCTGGGACCACATCAACTTTATTTCAAAATTTTAATTGTGTAATGAGAATGGATTAATTGGCAATCTAGCCGTGGAAAAGTGAAGACTTCTTCATGACAGAACTCTTCATGAAGATGGAGAGTGATAGAGATGATTCGGGAGGGACCAAAATCTAAAGAGAGGAAATTACAGTGTTATGAGGTGCATGCACGCTACAATAACTTGAGGAACTTAAGCTTTAAGGGGGTTGACAAATATTGAGAGAACACTTGGAGGAACTGCAACTGTTGTTCATTCTTGTCTGGCACAAAATAAAGAATGGGAAAGGCGACCCTGCCATGGCTAACCAGGGATATTAGGGATAGTACCAGATCCAAGGAAGACGTGTAAAAATTGGCTAAGGAGAGCAGCAGACCTGAAGACAGGGCGCAAATCAGATTTCAGCAAAAGAGGACTAAAGGATTGTCTAAGAAGGGGAAAATAAAGTCTCAGGGTAAACTTGTAGGAAACATAGAAACTAATTGTAAAAGCTCCAAAAGGGATATGAAGAGAAAAAAAAATAATGAAAACAAGTCCCTTACGATCAGAAACAGGGGAAGTTATAATGTGGAATAAAGCGATGGACGGACCAATTTACTATATATTTTGATTCTGTCATCACAAATGATGATATAAATAATATCACTAAAATGCTGGGGATCACATGACAGGGAGGAAGTGAGGAAATCAGTATTAGTAGGAAAATAATGTTGGGGAAATTGATGGGATTAAAAGCCAACAAATCCCAGCACCTCATAATATACGCCCCAGAATAGTTAACAAAGTTGCAGGAGAGACAGTGGATGCAATCAGAAACTAGGGGCTTGAATCTAAATTGAGGAAATTAATGGTCATCTTTCATAACGCTATAGACTCTGGAACAGTTCCCATGTATTGGAGGGGAGCTAATGTAAGCCCACTATGTAAAAAAGAGGAGGTAGAGAGAAAACATGGACTTATAGACCGGTGAGCCCAACCCTGGAAAACAGTAACAGAATTAGACAAAGTCAGAGTCAGTCAGCTTGGATTTAGAAAAGGGAAATGAGAAACAAGAACGGAGACCTGTTTGTCCTTGGACACAAGTCACTCAAAGTAAGCATGCAGGTAGAGGCAGGAAATGAAGGCAGCAAATGCTAGGTTGGCCTTCATAGCGAAAGGATTTGAGAACAGAAACAGGGATGACTTGCTGAAATTGTACAGGGTCTTAGTCAGACCACACCTGGAGCATTGTGTGCAGTTTTGGAATACTGATGTGACTAAGGATGTTCTGGCTATGGAGGCTGTCCAATTAAGGTTTACCAGACTGAATCCTGGGATGGCAGGACCGATGTATTATGACAGAATAGATCAGACAG